CTACATAAAATTGTTGTACCAATTGGCTGAACTGTATCAATTATAAAATAAAATAACTATCAGCCAATTTCTGAGAAATATTAGCATTTGTATTATTAATAAATTTGGTTTGAATTTCCTAATTATTTAGATGTTTCTCCATTTCCTTAAAGCTATTAGCATGATAAAATAAATACTATTAGAATGTAAAAATGACAATTTACCAGAGGAAATACTTTTTTTACATTTTAAACAAATAAATTTGAATCCAGTTTTGGTTTTTATATTTATTTAAAAAATTTTTCAAATCTAGAGAATGGGAAATTTGTATTATAGCTATTAAGAACATTTTCTTCCCTGGTATCTAATATTTCATTAATATCTTGTCTGAATCACTTTCAACGATTTGTAGGCGATAACATTTTAAATTATTAACACATAATTTAGGTTTATAATACAAATGAAAAGATAAATTACAAATTGAAAATATATTTCAATTTCAAAATTAAATAATACAGGATTTCCCATTCAATAAAGGAAAAGTCTTAATCAAAAAAGGAAAAGTTTCAATCATAAAAGGAAAAGTGTCAATCAAAAAAGGAAAAGTCCCATCAAAAAAGGAAAAGTGTCAAACAAAAAAGGAAAAGGTCCAATCAAAAAAGGAAAAGTGTCAAACAAAAAAGGAAAAGGTCCAATCAAAAAAGGAAAAGTGTGAATCGAAAAAGGAAAATTCCCAAAAGAAAAGGAAAAGTCAATCAAAAAAGGAAAATTCCCATTCAAAAAAGGAAAATCGTAATTTTTTTAAAAAAAATTATAAATTTTTCGATTTTTCTTAAATTTTCTTATTTTTGTTATTCTTTCTTATTTTATTTCTAACTTTTTGCGATTTCTTTACTTTATTTGTATCTTTTCTCAATTTATTTTTCTTACTATATTTTTTCTCAATTTTTTTTCTTCTCATTTTTGATAATTCTTTTGTATTTTTAAAAATAAATGATAAATTTAGGTCCATTTTTTTAACAATTCTTTACGTTTTTTTTTTCATCATACATATGTCGTAATTTTTAAAGGAATCATAAATATCCGGGATCTTCAAGGGATTTAAAGGGATCCCTTTAAAATTTCAATTTTTTAAAGGATAAAGATCTATACGGCATTATCACGTTTGAACCATGATATAGAAGAATCTTATTTTAAAAAGCGTTTTTCGCGCGTTTCGTTTCGTTTCGTTCTTTAATTTTATTGTTATTCATTAATTTTCAATGTTGTTTTTTATTGGCCTTATGAAATAAGATATGTTTAATATAGGGTATCAATCGATAGCTAATCAAAAGATCTATTCAACTGGAGGTCAATATCTCCGCTATAATGGGCAGGTCTAGGTCTTGGGGGGTCAGAAATATTTTTATCAGCACAAAATATCGATATGGGTATCAAATAAAAGCTAATTTTAATATCGTTTGACTGAAAGTCTTCATTCTTGGTCTTGATGGGTATGACTTAATTTGGGGGGGGGGGGCGGTGTAAAAAATATTTTTTTGATATGGGTATCAAATAAAAGCTAAATTTAATATCGTTTGACTGAAAGTTCATTCTTGGTCTGGATGGGTATGACTTGGCCTGGGGGGTGGAGGGGAATATCTGAGGAAAATGCCAAAAATTATTTTAGAAATATGGAGGCCTATATTCCAAAATGTAGAAGGGGAGAAATTATTAATGATTAATATAAATTTTTATTTCTTACTATATTAAATATATATCGTAGTTGTAATTAAATAATTTGATATGTAAAAAATTATAATAAAAAAGTTGTCTGCCAAAAATTTAGTGAAAATTAAGTATATTTAAAAGAATTATCAAAAATGAAAAGAAAAAAAATTGAAAAAAGATATAAGAAAAATAAATTAAGAAAAGATACAAATAAAGAGAGTTGTTAAAATATCTAGATACTTAGATACTTTTTAAGATACATTTTGTATTAATTTTTAAGATTAATATTGATGACGAAAATGACGACATTCCTTGGCCAATTTATAGACCATATTATAATAATATCTCAAAATAAAGAAAACAAATCTCTGTTAGTTAAATGTTTGCCATGTCTATCAAAAAATATACAAATTTCAGTTAGCATTACCTCAACTTGCAACATTATAAAACATTTATATAGATACTAAATGAATGTTTACAATTTTAATTTTAAATTTTAAGAGAAAACATCAAACACTCTTAATCTAAATAAAAAAGGGGAAGGAAAAAAAATCTATTAAAGAAAATATTGGACTAGGCTAATCGTCATTTGATTTTTTTCCCAAGAGACCTCAGACTTTAACCCAAACCACTTTAGATGATTTAATAACTGATTTTATTATAGATAGCATTCAGCCATTTTCAGTTATTGAAAATCCATCATTTATAAAAATGATCAAAACATTAGCTCCACAAAAAAATATTATTTGCTGACAGACAGTGGTAGCCAGAATTTTCCAAAGATGGGAGAATGAAAAGAAAGAAATCATTAAAATTCTAATAGAATTATCGTTAATATGTACAACAGCATGTTTTAAGAAATGTTAATTTTTAGTTCATACATAGGAGTCAGTTCACAGCTTATTACTGTGCAACTATCTCCCAGCTCATTATTAAATTAAAATTTTAAACAAATGAACCTGAAATTTTGTTTACCACTCTTAAATGCCTTACTTAAAGGGATTGAAGATAGGTAAATTAATAATAAATTAATCAATATTTAATAATTCTAGGTTTATTGGGACAATTTTTGAAGATGAAAATATTTTGGCAACTATGCTTCATCCTTTTTTTAAACTAGATTGTACATGGTTGCAAATGGATGAAAATTTTAATTAAAAAAATACAACTAATACAAAGATTAGTTGAGGAATTATCAAAGTCTTCAAATGAGTGCAAATTAACCTGTGAAAAAAAAACCAATAATTTAATATCCGATTTTTTTCAGTATCTCACAGAAGGAGATATGATTGTTAATGATTTAAATTCTGATAATCAACAAAATTTAAATAGTTTTTTCAAAAATGAATGCCGAGATTTTAGTATTTTTAAACAACATCCTGATATAAATATGTTTTTCATTAAATATAACACCACAATCCCTTCCAGTGCCCCTGTTGAAAGACTTTTTAGTATAGCTAAAAATGTCTTTACAGATAAACGAGGATGTCTTAATGACCAAAATTTTGAAAATATTTTATTACTGAAATCTAATAATTATTTATAATCATTTAATCATATATTATATTATTTTATTAATGATATATAATAATATTTATATTAATCATATATTATATTAATATCTAAAAATCATTATTTTATTTATATTTTGATAAATGTGATATCGAGTCAATAAATTTTTTAGATCATTACATGTATTTTCACAAGAGAATCCTAATTTAGATTTATTCAAACCTTATCTAAAAGTATAATAAAAAATGTATCTGTACCTAGATACAGTTTAAATTGTATCTGTATCAAGATAACTTTTTAGACTATGTATCTGTATCTAGATCCATTTAAAAAGTATCTTTTAACAACTCTGAAAATTAAAGAAATCGCAAAAAGTTAGAAATAAAATAAGAAGGAATGACAAAAATAAATAAAATTTAAGAAAAATTGAAAAATTTATAATTTTTTTAAAAAAATTATAAAAAATTACGATTTTCCTTTTTGAATGGGAATTTTCCTTTTAAGATTGAAACTTTTCCTTTATTGATTGAACCTTTTCCTTTTTTGAATGAGAAACCCTGTATGTTGAGGACCTGACAGTCATACCCATCAAGACAAAAAATGAATTCTAAAGATATTTAAATTAGATTTTATTTGATACCCATATCGATATTTTGTGGTGATAAAAATATTCCTGACCCCCCATAACCTAGACCAGCCCATTATGGGGGAGATATTGACCTCCAGTTGGATGGATCTTTTGATTAGCTATCGATTGATACCCTATATTAGACATATTTTATTTCAACAACATTGAAAATTAATGAATAACAATAAAATTAAAAAACGAAACGAAAAGCGCGAAAAACGCTTTTTAAAATAAGATTCTTCTATATCATGGTTCAAACGTGATAATGACGTATAGTTCTTATCCTTTAAAAAATTGAAATTTTAAAGGGATCCCTTTAAATCCCGTGAAGATCCCGGATAGTTATGATTCCTTTAAAAATTACGACATATGTATGATGAAAAAAAAACGTAAAGAATTGTTATATAGTAAGAAAAATAAATTGAGAAAAGATTCAAATAAAGTAAAGAAATCTCAAAAAGTTAAAAATAAAATAAGAAGGAATGACAAAAATAAATGAAAATTTAAGGAAAATTGAAAAATTTATAATTTTTTTTTAAAAAATTTAAAAAATTACGATTTTCCTTTTTTGAATGGGAATTTTCCTTTTTTGATTGACACTTTTCCTTTTTTGATTAAACCTTTTCCTTTTTTGTTTGGATCTTTTCCTTTTTTGAGCGGACCTTTTCCTTTTATGTTTGAAACTTTTCCTTTTTTGATTGGGACTTTTCCTTTTTTGAATGGGAAACCCTGTATTATGTATATAGTTAAAAATAAAATTACATTTCTACAAAAAGAAAAAATTACTAACACGTTTTTTCCCCAAAGGGTTAAAACGGTGACATCACTCGAGGGGAGGGGGACAAAGAAAGTGTGCTTAGCACATCTAAATTTAATTTGAACATGCCCAAAATATTTTTTTGTATGAGGCAGACCATTTTTTGAGCACAAGCAAGCTTAAATAAATAGAAACTTTTTAGCACTCTTAAACAATAAGATCTAGTGATGCCACAGATTTAAATCAATGAATTGGTGGGAAGTTCAATAATATTGCAAGGCGAGGGCAGATCTATTGTTGTTTTCTTTTTTTATTTGTGCGTTCATTTAGATAATTTTATTTGATCATCCCACTACAATATGGTGAAAAGCATTGGAACGTTTATATAATTACGTTTTTTTTAAATAAAATTAGGTTTTCTTAGAGTTGGGCCTTACAAAAGATGAGATTTTAGATTATTTTTCAGGACCGGCCTATTTAGCATGGAATAGAATGGGTAACTTGAAGTATTTAGGACAACAAAATGAGGACAGGAATATTTTATGGGAGTGGTTTACCAAAAATCAATATAATCTACAAAAGTTTATTCTAGCTAGAATGAGATCCCTGGATATAATTGCTGTGCTTCCAGGATTTTCTGGGCACTTACCACTAAAGCCATTTTTGAGGTTATATCCCAAAGCACCTATAACAAATACAAGTATGTATAGATAAAAAAAATAATTCACTTTTTTTTTCTTCTTTTAAATAAGGTATATGGGGTCATTTAAATGGAAGTTTTTGTTGTGTAGGATTTCTAGATCCCTCTTCCGAATTATATCATAAAATAAATTATATTTACATACAAACTCTCAAGAAAAATTATGGCAATTATCATCACATATACAATATAGACCCCTTCAACGAATTGAAAAGAACATTTAAGTATATTTTTATAATTATATCCAAAAAGATATATATGTGTAAAACAAAAAGGGGCACCTTTACTATCATTATTTTTATTGTGGAATCGGCGGCTCATTTATTAATCTTAACCCTTGTGATATTGTTTAGACTATGACCTTTCCCACATTTATGCATAATAACGATAATGATAAATACGTTTATAACCTCATTTTCCATATCCAAAAAAATATATAAATTAGAAACAAGGAAGAAGTTGCAAATTTTTCACGATCTATATATAATTCGTTGGCTAAAATTGATGAGCAAGCTTATTGGTTATTGCAAAGCTGGACTTTTTATGACATTAAAACATGGAGCCCCGAGTATATAAAGGCGTTTCTAACTGCCGTTCATAAGGTTATATTTTATCATTTAACTTTCGTAATTTTTTTTTATATAACATCTAATTCCATTTTTCGTCTTGAGTTAGGTTTAAAACTTTGTCCATAGGAGTCCTCTTTAAATTAATCGTAAATATGTTTCCTATTAAAATATATATAATTCATATTCGAGATCAGCAAGATTCAATCTTAACCGACCTGTAAAGATTTTCATAACAACCTTTTTCCCAACCTTAAACTCTCTGATTCTTCTAATGTGTTAAGGTGAGCTGTTTTTTAAATCGCTTGTGTGTAAAATTGATTGATCAAAATGGAGTAATAACTAAAGACCTGCAAGAGAATTATTTATACCCCACCAGTAGGAATGTATCATTTAACGACCCAACCAGAAATGAAAAAATAATAACAATTACCCAACCCATGGATCTGGTTGATGGTTCGAATTTCCTGATTAAATCGGTTTGACAGACCTCTAGTTAGAACCTTATAACTATCAGGTGACTTTTATTTAATGTGATAATCTACTTAAACTTTAATTTGGTGTAATTTCTGATTTTATTTTTCTATGTAGGGTAAAATGATCATCTTAGATCTCGCTGGTGATATGATGCCACTTTATTCCTTAACTGATTCTTTTTATGGGCAACCATTTATATGGTGCGTCTTGCACAATTTTGGCGGCACATCGGGCATGCAAGGAAATTTGTTTAGCATCCAACGGGTATCCAATTTAATTTTTAAAAATTAATATTTAAACCTATAAGAAAAAAAATATGCTTCATTTAAACACGGTTTGTTTACAATTTATAATTTTCTATGCGATTATAAAAAGTTTCCATTTATAACTTTTATCATATTTAATCTCCAAGAAATCTTATAATTTATCTTATTTAATGTTTTTTACTATAAAATTCCTCGTCCCTTGAGAAGCTTTATAATATATTAAGAGACAATTTTACATTTTTAATACATAAAAAAAACCTTTGAAAAATATTAGGGCTATAATTTGGTAACTTCCTCTAGTCCACATCGAAATAAAAACCTTCTTGGCAATTCTTCTAACAGTTGTGTCGGAATAGGTTTGACAATGGAAGGTATTAACCAAAATAACGTTGTATACGAATTTGTGAATGATTTAAACTGGCGATCAGAGATAGTTTTAGATGAATGGTAAGGAATTTTTTAAATATATATATTTGCCACTCATCAATTCAATCGCGCCTTTTTTTAAAGGGGGTGGGGGTGCTCAGCATGAATAAATGAGAACACCTAAAATTTCTAGAAATATGTTATTCACGCCTAAATATTAAAATAAATTGCTTCTTTAGCATGATAAAATGATGAAGGCTATAACGCCACTGATTTACACATCAATTTATTATAACCCCAACTCATTTATAATATTGATGTAAAGCTTTTAGTTAATCACTCATGAGAAGAAAATATGTCATTTCTTAGAAAAGGGTAATGATATTTAGATATGTTCTTCTAAATTTATTTGATATAATGATTGTTTTGGAGTCGTGTTAAATTACTTGATGTGAGCCGATTTTTACAAATGGCTAACCCAATATTTTAGCCAGTTAAATATTTCTTAAACCACGAGATTTCGCTAATAGATGTCCAACCTTTATGCCATCTATGAGCAAAATCGTCAGGCTGACGTAATATTTCTGGATAAAATATTGAGTTAGCCATTTCTAAAAATGTGCTTAAATCCAGCCGTTTAACAACACTATTTTGGAGTGATGGGTATGACTCAGAGGTTAGATACCTTAATTAAAAAACTGCCACGTTGGTTCAATCCCAGCTCGGGACTTTCTATCAACCTCCTCAAGAATATTGGGATTGAAGGTAACATCAGAAACATACGCCTGCAGAGGTAATTGTACTTCCCGACCTGGATTTTTAAAAAAAATTATTTGCAGGCACGGCCCAGATTTTTTTTAAATATGTTAATTTTTTTTATTTTTATAGATAATAATGGCAATTTCAAATATTAGGTTTTAAAATATACTGCCCATCCCGCGTATTTTAAAAAATAAATTTAGGCCCGGCCTGGGTATATTTAAAAAAATTAAAAACGGCCCGCCGAGCTTAGGGCCGGGCCTGCAGGTCTCTAGTAACAATGTTATTGCATTTTAATAGAATCTGAGCGTTGATTAAATTGTTCTTGTAGACAGACGTCATATTATTACCCGGAATTTAATGGGTTAAATTTTCAATATAGGTAAATAGGAAAGTTCACAGAATTATTTATACTGCTCAGTTTTAATAAAACATATGGCAAAATAAATTTAGGTATCACTTGAATAATGAATAAATAAAATGCTAATCTAAATATTATATTACAGAGAATTAAGAATAAATACCTTCCTAATTTGACTAGGAATATTAAATTCGAATTACCAACCTAAAATAACAATTGTATTTGGCAAATTATGATGGGAAGGTCAAGGTTCGCTCTTTTGAAATTGAATTTTTGAACCAATTTTAAAAGATCGAACCGAAGATCGATATCAAAATACCGGACTGAATTTTTTATGTGTAAAGCGGTATTCAAGTCGATTGGTTAGCATCCTCTCCATTGCAAATTCAGCAACAGACATAAAACAATTAATACTTTATTAGATATGATTCTCAATAAAGCAGGTACCCATCTACCCTGGAACCCATAGGACTCAACGCAGCTGACGGAAAAAGATCAGATGGCATAATACTCATTTCATTCAAGGAAAGAAGAGAATTAACTTGTAATTATACATGTATAGATCCAGCAATTCCTTACCGAAATGCATTATCCAAACTAGGACGCGAAAATTTAAATAAACCTTTTTAACCAATATTACCTTTATTAAGAGCACTTTAGGTAGGAAATTTTGGTCCCTGAAGGTATTAAATTTATAAAATTCTTAGGTCATAAAATCTCATTTAAAGTCTGTAGATTCTAACGAATGTTTTTATCTAAAACAGCAAATCGCAATGGCTACACGCAAATTGAATCTAGTATCCATTCATTGTTCAATGCCAGCCATGATCTAAGAAATTATTTAATTTTTTAATCCTTTTTTAATGTTATTTTTTGCCTTTTTTTATTATTTAATTTTTTTTAATTTCCATTTTTTTTAAAGGTTACTTATCAATATTAATATATGCATGCTTTTTATTTAATTTTTTTTAAATAATAAAGATTATAAATTTAAAAATATGTAAAATATAAAACACATTTTTAAGTTAAACATTTTATTTATTAAAAAATAGAATATACTTAAACTTGAAAATATGTTAATACTTTTAGGCCCCTTACAACCTGAACGATATTTGCCAAGTATAATTTGGCAAATATAGTGCTGCTAAATATCTCTATTTGAGCCGATTTTTTTAAAATGGTTAACTCAATATATTAGCCAGAAAAATATATCAGCCTTAAGATTGCGTTAATAGATGTCAAATATGACATCTATGAGCAAAATCTTTTGGTTTGCGTATTTTTTTTGCATAAAATATTGCATTAGCCTTTTATAAGAAAAGGCTCAAATCAAGCCGTTTAACAACACTATTCAAACAGATGCCAATTTAATGCGATTTTTAATATATCATTTTTTTAAAATGGTGAATATAAATTAAAATATTTGTAAGACTAAATTTTAGATTTATAATGAATATGTTAGTCTCTATTATCATCGGAATGGCCCAACCCTAAGCTGGCCGTAAAATGTTATAATTTTAAAGCTCAGACCAGCTTAAAAATAAACATTACATGGCCTCTAAAAATATTTTTTACAAAGCCCAGATCAGATTTATTTTTTATAAGTATTTATGATATCAATTAATCGGTTGAAAATATGTAAAGGATCATTTACTGCTCATATTTGCTTTCTTTGCAGGATTTTTTCATTTTAAATATTTAGCTATATAAACCGTGCCAAAATTTTTAAAATCAAATCTTTTTACAACCCTGCCGGGCTCCTGGCTACCGGTTTCTGATATTTTTAAATAATCATTGTATAAAAAGGATTTTAGGTAAAAAAAATTCATTGGTGATCATGGACCCTCTTTTAAAATGTTACAATCAACTCAAATTGCTGTGTTTCGACTCCGAGGCAACTCTCTTAGAGGGCCTCTTTGCCCCCCCCCTCTTATATGTAATTTTTAAATAATAACCTAACTTATGGAATCTTTAACTCAAGGAAATTTTTTAATTGGATGAAATATATTTAAAATTAAACAAGTATGTAGGATTAAAAATAAGAGATATATGGGTTAGGGTTGATAGAGGTTTGAGAGATATGGAGTGCAAAGATATATTAAAAAAATTTTTTAATAAAATGTACTCATTTTTATTAATAACTTGTCAGATCTACAGGTTATGTGATTAAAAATAAATTCCTTGAATTGGACCATAATCATTTTTTATATAGTTTTTATATTTGTCAGAGACCTGAAGAAGTACTATTTGCACGGCGGATATATTTGTCAAATTTTTATTTTCAGGCCCGCCCCGAATTTATTTAAAATATATTATATTTATTTTTAATTTTTATAGCTAAGATTTAAAATATTTAATTTTAAAATGTAGGGCTCGGCCGGGTATTTTTTTTAAAAAAAAATTAGTCCCATCTCGGGTATTTTAAAAAATTAAAATACGGCCCGACATGTACCCTGGGTAAGGGCCTGGTCTGCAGGTCTCTAATACTTGTCTTGTTTTAAGTTGTTCTCATGATTTTTTTCACATATTATTTTAATTTGTTTTTGCTATTTTATTTTTTAATATATTTTTTAAAATTTGATAAAAAACTTATGTTAAAAAATTTAAGGATCAAAGATTATAGTTATCGACGATATGGCGTGAGATCTGACGATTTAAGGCAAAGTTGGAAAATATTATTAGTATGTATACAATTAAATAATTTTTGGATATAATTATCCCAAACAAATATTTTCCGAAAGTTTAAAAAAGGGACAGAAATCTTTAGAAATTTTTTTTATGTTGCAATATAATTTAAAATTATGATCAATTGTGTATGAACGTTACAGTGTAATTTTCTAAGGCTTATGTCCTAATTGCAGCTAAATCTTATCCAAGAAGCGCTCTCAAATATTTTTCATTCAGATGGGGACCTAAATATTTCCAGAATAAGAGCAAATATTAATTTTATGCAAAGTATTTTATTTAGTTAATAATTTTATAAATAATATTTATCTAAATAAATTTAATATTACATGAACTTGATTTGGGTAAGTTGGCTTTAGCTTATTATGTATTATTTAATCAAAGAAACTCTGCATTTTTATATACTATTTTAGCTCTCGTCGAGCATTTTTGCAGAGATACCATAAGATCTCAAACAGACATGCTTAATTGAATTAGTAGCCCGGTATGAAATATAATGTGTACTTTATATACCAGGAAATCGTGTGTTTAAACAGGTAATTATTATTATGAACCAGAATAGAAGATGTCAAATTAATTTATTAAAATATATAGTTAATCAAAATCATTTTAAATTAACAAAAATAAACTAAACATAAAAATGTAAAATCAAACTAAAAATATAAAATCAAACTAAAAATATAAAATCAAACTAAAAATATAAAATCAAACTAAAAATATAAAATCAAACTAAAAATATAAAATCAAACTAAAAATATAAAATCAAACTAAAAATATAAAATCAAACTAAAAATATAAAATCAAACTAAAAATATAAAATCAAACTAAAAATATAAAATCAAACTAAAAATATAAAATCAAACTAAAAATATAAAATCAAACTAAAAATATAAAATCAAACTAAAAATATAAAATCAAACTAAAAATATAAAATCAAACTAAAAAATTATAAAAGTTTCCTTTCTTTTTCTTTCTTTTTCTTTCTTCCATTTTTACATTTTTGATTTTATTATACTATTAAAATTTACATACCATCAATAATTATTTTATATAATTTTCATTTAATTTGCTTACAATTTAAACATTCCAATTATCCTTACAAATTTTATATTCAATTTAACTGCTTTAAAATTATAATTAACTTTTCTTTTTCATTACACGTATTCGACGACCTTCCTTTAAATCGCCTAAATCTACTTTGAACATAGCTAGCTAAACGTAATGACTAATTCTAAGACATTGAGTTAACCCCATCTTTTGCGAAGGCCACTCCTAAATACTTCTTTTGTCAAATTGTTTACGATAAAGACCTCTTATAACCAGAACGCTCTCTTGTAACAATACTGACCTTTATGATAGTAACAGTATACTAATCTCTTGTAACGATAACAATTCCTTATAAAGATAACGATTTCTTGTAATAAATATCTCTTATACTATAACTATTACTTGTATCTTAGCGACCTCTTACTACAATAGATTTTTTGTAACGTTAACGATCTCTTGTAACAAATTCCTTTTAGTTATAACTAGTGTTGTTAAACGGCTCGATTTGAGCCGATTTTTTAAAACGGCTAACTCAATATTTTAGCCAGAAAAAGATTGTCTAAGCCTCGAGATTTCGTTAATAGATGTTCAAACCAATGAGCAAAAGGTTGGCATAATAATTTTCCTAATAAAATATTGAGTTAGCCGTTTTTAAAACTGCCTCAAAATGAGCTATTTAACAACACTAGTTATAACGATCTCTTGTACGGATAACGATCCCTTGTAACGAATTTCTTTTAGCTATAACTATCTCATGTGACGAATTTCTTTTAGTTTTAGCTAAAAAGATCTCTTGTACGGATAACGATCTCTTGTGACGAATTTCTTTTAGCATAACGATCTCTTATAACTAAAACGACTAATTCTATACTCTTTCGAACATGTTACTTCTACTATAGCTACTAAAATATGCTCTTTCGTTTCTTCTATGACAATTTACCTGGATATTCATACAATTTATCTTGATTGATCTTATACTTTGTCTTTATGTCGATGGTCATTTCATAAATCCCCTCTCCCCCTTTTTTAGAATTTTTTTCCTGAGTTAATTAGACTGAAGTTTTAGGCCCATAGTACATACGGTTTTGGCACCAATTGTTTAAACAAGTAATGATTATTATGAGCCAGAATTAAAGATTCCAAATTAATTTATTAAAATATATAAACTAAACGTGAAAATATAAAATCAAACTAAAAAATCAAGGCAACGAATAACGGTTACGCCTTTCCTTTTTCAAACGTAATGAGTAACGTGTTTCTTTTTTAAAGTAACGTTTACAGCACTGCTTTTTACTAAGGTTGTAATAAATTTGTTCATTACCCTTTATATTAATTTTTATGAGAAATATTTGTTTTGGAATCGTCGCAATTTTTTTTCCTGAAATATATAAATTAATATAGCATTTAAATTCCTTTTTTCTGGCTCTGAACTATAACCCTTCAGAGAATATGATTATATATATATATATCAGAAACCTGAATAGCGGTTGATATGGGAAAAATCGGCCAATGGAATATTGGGACATACACTCCCAAAAAAAATCGTATTTATGCAACTAAACAAACTATTTTAAAAAATTTATGCATTGATTATTTAGAAGAGAGAATGGACTTGCCCAATTTTCTCTCTTCAATTGGAGAACATATACGTTCTAAAATTGTTTCTTTTGAATAATATAATTTATTATTCTATATATCATTTAATAAAATTATAATTATTTCTTTTCTGTAACTTTTGAAAAAAATTCATAAGCAAAATAATAATTGTTAGATTAGAAAAATATAATACTCACTGCTGATAATCACCTCTGGATGTATTTTGATTAAAGTGGTCAGCATTTTTCATTACTTTTGGCAGTATTTAATTAAAATTCGGCAGTAAAAATATAATTTTGCAAGTTTTATAGTGATTTTGTATTCAGTCAGTTAAATTCTTAAAGTAGGTAAATACTTCAGTAAAATATATTTATCAAATAGAGGGTATCAGATTGAATTGCTAATTTCCTATTTAGCCACAAAATTTATAAAATTATATTATTTAATAGCTTATCCTTGTAAAAACAAAAAGGGGCGCTATTTAAGAGTCAGTAAACTGTGAAAAGCCTTTTATCATATTTCTAAAAAAATGATTAAAATTTGTGTAAAAATAATTTTTCAATAAATACCTAAAAGTTGATGAAAGTGTGTAAAGGTGAACTAGATTTATTTAACTTTCGTTTTATTATTTAAAATCTCAAATCCTCGAAGAAATTTGACTTTAAAAAACATTTCTATTTAATTAAATACTGCAGAGCAGATCCGGGTCACGGGATTTTTTTCCCGGGGAATTATTTTCCTAGATTCAAATTTACTAGTAATATAATTTGAAAATTGTTCATTTTTGTTTTATATATCTAAAACATAATCCCAAAAAATATTTTAAAAATATCGTGGTTTGGCGGATAACCGACTCGTATATGTTTTACTCGTAATTATAGATATATAAAACAAAAAATGAACATTTTTCGAATCATATTACTAGTAAATTTTATCAATCGAATATTTAGTAAGTGGGGTTTTGAGCTCGGCAATCAGTCAAATCAAATTATTTTCAAAATATTTTTTAGGATAATGCTTAGCACGTATATATATACGCGTATAATACAAAAATGAAGATTTTTCCATGGATAACGCCAGCAATGCAGTATTTGGTCATTCGGTCGGTTTTCGGGTCAAATCACGATATTTTTAAAATATTTTTTGGAATTATGTTTTATACGTATTTATAGATACATAAAACAAAAATCAACATTTTTCAATTTATCTTAATAGCAAATTTGATCAATCAAATATTTAATAAGTGGTCGGTTTTGAACTCGGCAATCGGTCAAATCAAATTATTTTCAAAATATTTTTTAGAATAATGCTTAGCACGTAAATATACACGTATAAAACAAAAATGAAGAGATTTTGATAAATAACTCCAGCAATATTTACTTTAAAAAATTTCCATTGTTTTACTATTCTAAACCTACTCATTAAACATCAAAGAAACCTAAAAAAAAATTTTAATTTTTAGGTTTTTCATATGTATATATATACCCAAATATAAAAAAAATGCTATCCAATCATCATTCCGGTTTCCTAAAATGATACATATTAAAACATATAACGCCCTCTTACGGATTTATATTTGTTAATTTTTAAAATTGAATAAAATGTATATTTGTTTTAATAAGCTAGAAAAATAAATTTCTTATTAATAATATTAAATAAAAATAAAATTATATACTATATCATTTAATCAGTATTCTTCATTTATAATAAAAAAATGATTTAAATATATTTTAAAAAAAGTTTAAAAAATTATCATTAAAAAAATATACGTAATAAATTTTTGATTGATTTATAATTGATAATGATTGATTGCCTTTTAGCAATGCAGTTTAGCAATGCATTAGCAATTCAATGTATAGTGGGGAAATTTTTTCCGGGGAATTATTTTCCAGGGGAATTTTATTCCGGTTTTTCCGGAGAATTATTTACCTGGGAATTATTTTCTGGGGAATTTTTTTCCGGGGAATTATTTTCCTGGGGATTTTTTTCCGGGGAATTATTTTCCGGGATTCCAATTAAATATTTATAAGGAGATTATTCTCAATAAAAAATTTTATAAATTCAAATCTAAAAATTGCTATATGATTATAATATGTTCTTATTCATATATTTTTAAATACAAAACTTAATTATAATAAATTCTTGGTCATAATATTTTTATATTCTATTATTTTTAATAAAAGTATTGCAATTGCAATAAGAGTTACTTATATTTTATTTTAATTATATTTTTTTTTAAATACAGTTATTTACAATAAATTTTTAATATAATAATCTGTATAAAATTTATTCATTTTTTATTTTATTGCATATTCTCATTAAAATAAATACAGTTATATAAAGGGATGTTATTTATACTAAAGGAAATCTATAATGAAATTCTCTGCAAAATTTTGTTATTAATATTTTTTGCATTTATGCTGGCTACTTAAGTGGTTAAAAACTAATAAAGCACATAATATTGGCAAATTTTAGAATTAGTATTTCCAATTGTTCAGCCAACTTTAACAAAGATAAGAAAATTACTGAAAAATTAATGATATTTTGTACAGAATTTGATTGATATTTTTTATTTTAAAAATATTAATATATTATAGAAAATAATCATTAGAAATATTTTTTAGGGACCCAGCCGGAGGAAAGGGAGTTTGGGGCGAATCCCCCCCCCCCCCAAAAAAAAAATTTTAAACCCTAGGCAGTTATAATCTCAGGCAACCACTGCACTAAACTAATTATATGAATAAAGAGCTTATATTGATAAAATCATCCAAACCAAAAAATTAAAACAATTATAGGCTGGAATATGTACTTATTTCCATATTATTCCTAATTCTCTCTTTCTTACTTAAGAAACAATTACAAATTTAACTTATCCAGTAAAATAAATTATTTTTGATCATAACTTTCTAGTTATTTTTATTTATTGAAATACGGTAAGAAGCCAGAAGGAAGGGGTGACCCATATCTTGTAAAAAGAATTTTTAAAAGGCATGCAAAAATGTAGTATATATCTCCATGGGAACTTGTTTTGAAATGTATCATATTAAACGTTATATAATTTACATTTTAAGCTAATATTATGCCCTCTTTAACACCATTAAGTTCTCGAGGTTCAGAAAAAGGAACAAAAATTTTATTATAGAGAAATAAGAGGCTTTTGAAAAATGAGATTCACTTTTCTTATTTACACAATAATCAAGAAAAATCATTCAATAAAATTAGCTCGGAAATTCAAATAAAAATAATTCTGATAAAATTAATATTCCTACTTACCAATAAACTTTTCAATAATCATATTAAGAAAATTAATTTTAAATTTAATTTTTTCCCAAAATTGTTAAGATGATAAGTTATCCGTTTTTGACATTTGAAAAAAGATAATCTTTTTAATGTTTACATACCTGCTCTCATTCATTCTTATAAAAGGCAAAAATTTTATTAAAATATTAGACCGCCCGATGTCAATACAATCGCAATATTTTAAATTGTTTTTAATGATAAATAAGTGGCAGACCTGCAGAGGTCAAAATTTTAGGCCTAGCCCGATTAAAAAAAAATTCCATTTTTAAGCTTACCTCTAAATTCTTTTTGATCAATTTATGGCACGGCCCAAAATTTTAACTATTTTTCAAATTATTTCTAAGGGAAATTGTAAATGTAAAGGAGTAAATAAATATTAGACTTCACTATAATATTTTCCCATTGAATAAATACATTAATATAATTTTTGAAAAAAAATTAAAAATCGACCTAACCCAAGTGTTTTAATTTTTTTAAGTCCGACATGATTTTTAGTCACCATTTTAAGTCCTACAAATCTGTAAGTGAGAGAAAGCTGAGTGAATAATAAAAATTCATAAAAATAATATATCTTTTTAAAAATTCGTTATAATTCAGATTGTTTTTAAACAAATCAATTATTATTTTTAGAGGATTAAACTCCAAGTCTTGTTCTTCCATTCTAAAAATGTAAAAAATTTATTTTAAATGTTCTAATTGTGTTACCCATATCCATATGAAATACATCACTTTAATTTACATTAAATAATTTATGAGTAAAAACAAAAAATATTTCCGATATTATAACACGTTAAGCACACTGTGTACTCCCATCAAAATGGAGGCAACAATAAGGTTATTGACCGAAATATACATCGAAAACATTCATTTCCTGGGCATGGCGATTACCTTATAACTTCAATGCCTTCAATGAATCTTGCATTTGATCAAGTTATATTTTATCTAATTTGGCATTTTTTAATACGAAAGACAGAGAACTTATGATTATTCAGATTTGGAAATGGTTTGTAATACATTTTTGAGAATTATGATTGATCAACCATCTATGATGCTAATTGATACCTTCAGGTATTTATATATTACTTCACTATAAGATTAAGAGGAAATATGCTATAAATATTTTTGTTTTACTTTATAAACGTAAATTTAAGGTATTTTCTATATCTTTGATAATTTAATTGTCTAAGAAAATTTTGCCACCTATTTAAACTTGTTTACTAAATTGAGCAACATTATTAAAATCCTGCAGTCAGCCCGAGCTAAGGGTTTAACATCATCAATAAAATATAGGCCAGAATAAACATTAAGTTTGATTGAATCCACAAATGATTAAAAATTACAAGTTTTAAAAAAAATAATTTGCCAAAACATTAAATTAGCTAAGTTTTTTGTATTACTGAATATTTAAATTTATTCTACTTAAATTAGAAAAGTCGGACCAATCCTAGACTAAAGAAAGAAGGAAAGGGCAGTAATATTTGTATTTAAAATACTATTTTGTTTCTGAATATTTACAAAGTATTTTGTATTTATTATAATTCATAATTTTCAGTCGAAAACAAATCATTTTTTGTATAAAAAATGTAAATTCACATTTATTTAAATAATAAATTTATGACCCAAGTTAGCACTATATTATTTTCTTTTAAGAAATTACATATTTATATTTTTTAAGATACGATTTGGCTGACATAATTAGACAATGCTTTCAAAACTCTTTCAATGACCTTTATCACAATTTATTGAGAACATATTCTAATGGTTACAGCTCCAATTTGAGGTAATATAAAAATATTATATGTCATTTAAAACCATAAAGAGTTATAAAAGAACAAATGGCCCACTTATTTAAATCATTAGACTATGTATTATCTTTTCATAATGATTTACGATTAATCACGTGGATAAAAACAGCTGAAAACTTTACAAGCAAGACCAATAATTTGTTTAGAAAAAATGCTTTAATGCAGATAACAAATTGGGATGTCAACCAAAACGTAGATTTATTTATATTATACTATATTTAAGATTTATTATTCAATAATTGTTTTTTTGTAGAAATGGCTTATGGATTATGCCAGTAAACAATGGAGTGGCATGTTCAACTGTTATTATGGACGACGTTGGGATTTATTTATATTGGAGCTAATAAATGCTTTAGACAATGACACAATTTTTATTCAATCTGATTTTGATATGAAAATATGGAACCAGTTACAACTGCCATTTGTTGCAAATAGCTCATCCTTAAATCAATGCTTAGGTAGAAAATATTCATAATTACTAATTTTTTATTAACTACAGATAAAAATTATGAAGAAACTTTTATTCATAAATTCATAATAAAGTAAGAAATATTAAACAAAAATTTACTATATATATATATATTGAATTTAGATATCAAACATCTAGGAAAAATATACATTTCAATGGTGTTATGCAACAATATCATTAAAAATAATTGAAATTCAAAATATGATATATATATATCAAAAAATTAAATTTATATATTTGTACTATACATGATGAACTTAACTCTAAAAATTAAAAATCTAGTTTATAAAAAATGTTTAATGAATAGTAGTTTATTATGACAATTTACAAAAGAATATAAAGATATAAGCAAAGTCATTTTAAAGGGAGCAATAGTGGTTTTTGTAAAATAATATTATTTAGCCCAAGTACCCAGTTTCAAGACTTGATCACAGTACCGTTTGAATTCCAATTTCGTTTTTTTATAAAGTGTTACCTCATTGCTAAAAGATGCAGGCGTTGTCATTTTACTATTAACTAAAATGTTGGTCTTTACTTTCAAAGCGAATGTATTCAATTGGAAAGAGGACAGAGAAGAATTAATTACTGGCATTTCATCCAATTTTTTCATTAATTCAATTTTCAACGTATCTACATAATCCATTTTTATTGTTTCTTTTAAAGGAGACGGAATAGAAACTTTCTTGTCAACTAAAGATTGGTTTAATTCTGAATCATCTATCTTAAGAACATTCTGATCATCGTTATTTAGACTATCATCTTTATCAACTTCCACAATTTTATTTTCCAATATTTTAGCATAAATTTTCTTTTTAGTTTCCTCACAAATGCTTAACGCCAAAGGTTGCAACATAGATACGTCCCCAAAGGCAAAGCCTCGATTGCAGTCCAAAATTTCTAAAACGTTGTCCTTAGATTCAGATTCAACCATGTTGGTTCGATACCAAACAAAAGCGTAACGATTATGCTTAACAAAATTGGGTGTTGGATTACTTTTAAATTTTCTTTTAGCCAAAAACTTGGCCCCTTTCTTTGCAGCCAACGTCATTCCATCTTCCGTTTTATCTTCATCGTCTATCTTATTAATGTCATTCACTGTTTTTATATTATCGCTTATTAAAATTTTCTGGTTTATCTGATTTAGCTCCAATTTTTGAAGCATATCCTCTTTCATATTCAAATCTAATGATGGTTTGTCTTCAGTCATGGTCGATGTGTTGTCATCACCTATCTTTGCATTTCCTCCAATGTCTGAACCCTTTTTTTTCATCTTCTTATTATGATTTTTATTATAAATATTGGGGTTTTTCGTGTCTTTATTGTTTGGGATAAATCTGTAAGTTGTCTTTTGAATAATAGGTGGGTTCAGATAGGTATCTATGGAAGAAAAACATTCCGGTCTCAAAAAATATAAAGATCTTCCATATATTGCTTTATATAAACTCGTCAATGGATAAGGAGTCGAGGTTATGATACCTTTAAAAGGAATGCAAATTGTATTTTTTAAGCATTCAATTTTACAAATAAAATAAATGATTATTACCATTGAAAAATATAGGTTGAATAAATTGGGTTAATTCATCTCCTTGCACCCCAACTATATTCCAAAGCATTAGCTTGTCAGCACAAGACATAATTCCTAAGCCCTTTTCCATCACAATTTGAAACTCTTCCACTTTCGAGTCTTGTTTACTAGTGTTAAAATTAGGAAAAGATTTTTTAAAGTCATAGCCTGTGTCACCCCCAACCTTACCATTTATATTTTGAGGATCACTATTTTTTTCCATTTGATTTCCATCCCTTTTTATAATAAATATATATTAATAAGTAAAAGTATTTAAAAATCAACCTATTTTGATTATCCAAATTGGAATAATTGTTGTTAAGAGGGTAAACATAATTAGATTTGATTAACAATTTATCAGAATTTCTGGTCTTGGAAAATCCTGGGCAGAGCTTTAAGCATGGCATTTTCTGATTTTTTATTTGATTCATACGTAAAGCAGACTTAAATGGAATTCTAAGTTCTGAACCACAGGGAAACCCACTTAGATATAATAAAAATTTAACGTTTGATTTTAGCTTGAAAAGAGAGTGTGAATTGACCACAGGTATCTTTTCGAATATATTGTTATCATCATCATGAGCTGATATTTGAGCCCATAAAAATTTTATAAGAGCTTTTCTACATAAATTCTCTGCATGGCAATCAGTGATGCACTTTCTCTTTATGGGTGGTAAATTGCTATCACGCATCTCTTCTTCGGATATCATTTTAAAGATTGCAGGTGCATCAAAGCATCTTGTTCCTGATAAATTGAATCTTATTATATCAAAAATTTGAATTAAATAAAACCATTTGAAACAGCTATGAGTGTCAATTGTGGTAGAGTATTGGGTACCATTTGTCTCATCATCACTATACCCGCTATCATCTTTGAATTATCAAACAAAATCTTCTCCAATTCACCCATTTGCATGATTTCTTTGTATTTGTTCAAAACAGTTCTTAAAAATATAATAATTTTATAGAATATTTCTGATTTAAGTTTTATTCTTTTTCTAACTTACAAAGCTATAAGATCTGCCAATTCATAGGGTATTTTTCTGAAGGTGACCTCATCTCCAACCTCTCCAATATTAGAGTCTTCCAACTGGTCATTTGGTTCAGTTGTGGTAAAACTGTCATTTAGTGTAGATGTTATGAGGGAAAAAGTTTTCGGAAAATTGATATTAGATATATTTGCTGTTGTTGGCATGGACAAATCTATTTCATTAGGAACTGCAATTTTGTTTGTAAACACTCCAAAATCAATATTTAGATCCTTTAAAACTAATTTGGCAACCTCGTTTTTGGCTAACTTTTTACTGCTGCCCCAACTTTTGTATTCCTTAAAAAATATATTTTTTTAGAAATATGGTCCACACACTTACACCAAAATACACCTCAAATATTGTTAATAATGATTAATAGAGTTGAATTAGTATTATTAAAATATAATATTTTTTTAAAAAATGTAAATAATATATTGAATAACTAACCTTCCCTTTTGCATTTATAGTTCCAGTGAATCCCCCAGTAGGACAAGATATCACTGTTGTTTCATGTTTCATTATTTCATAAAGAATTGCTGAAGGAGTTTTTGTTGCTATTAATTCATTAGTCTGTGATAAAGAGATAAAATTGGTTGTATAACAAACATATTGATACGATTATTAAAGTAACTACTATTAATTACATTATAAAATTTCAAGAAATAAAACTACAATTTCTAAAAATACATGAAATCTATTAATTTAATTATTGACCAAAATATACTGAAAAAGTTTTACAGCGTTTGTTGAGGTATCAAGAATTTTTTCTAATTCTGCGATTTTTTCTAATTCTTTCGCTTCTTCATCGTTGATCCCCAGTTCAACGTTATAACATTCTTTCAATATATTTTTAGACAAAGTAATCTTGGCTTTATGTTTGGACAGTCCTTTTGCTGATTAAAATCAAAATTAAAAATATATGAAAAGTAAATTTAATAATATTTTATCAAATCAAAATGGAGATAAGTAACTTGAGGGTCATTCGATTATAGATCGATATAAAGAAGACCCATTTTCAAGGATATCTCTCGAATGACATTTTGCATAGTTATTAAGTATATTGTGAGGAATAGTGTAATTAATTTTTTTTAAATAACGATTGTCAGAGATATTAAAGTTCAAAGCCTAAAAATTGTGGCTTGCATATTTTTTCAAAAAGGATAAAAATAAAGATTACTAGTAGGGATGTCCGATACCACTTTTTCGAAACCGATCCGATATTCCCGATATTAAATTGATATCGGCCGATTACCGATCCGATATCATATCTAATTTTGTATTCTGTAAACCAATGGTTCTAATTTTTAAACTTTTTATTAGTATAACATCTATAATCTAACTATACTATAACTTATGTCATTTAAATATATTATAAGGATCAGTTATAGTTTATATTCACAGTACACTTTCACTGAAATATTAATTTAACATGTTTACAAAACATATTTTTACCTATTTACTTTAAAAAAACTCAATTGAAATTCTAAAAGTATATAAAATATTTTTATTGTTAAGTTACTTTTATATAATAAGTAATAACATTAATCTATATACATAATAAGTAATAAACAAATATATTATGAAATTTGAATTAAATATTTAAAATAATATTTAACATTAATATATAGAAGATTTCTTTTTAAAAATACCAAAATTTCCAATTTATCAGAGGTATGCCTGCGGCGATGGTAACTGTCAATATCAGCAGCTTCACTAAAAACAGATTTTGCAGAGATTATCGCATTATAAACAGAAGGCGAAAAAAAAAATAACAATATGGCAGAATGTTTATTAATTAATTCTTATTATTAAAAAAATAAACATGAAAATGGATTTCGATTTAATTTATAAAAATAAATGATTTTAGATATAACTTTTTTAAAAAATTTTATATCATTTTAAGCGCCATTTTTTATAGCATCGAATCGGAAAATTTTCTAATATTGGCCGATAACCGACAATATTTTAGAATGGATAAAATATCGGCCCGATCCGATAAAAAATATCGGTACATCCCTAATTACAAGATAAATTTAAATAGTTATTATTAGTTAGCAAATGAGGCACTTTATAAAAAAAAATTTTTGAATCTCCAGTGTTTTCTCAATTCTGGAACAGGTGAATGTAGATTTTTTTTAATATCGGCGTGCATTTTCTGGAATTTGGTAAATATCTTCATTATATTAAAGTAAATTTATACTAAATGTGATAGGGTAAAAATTGGTTAACGAGTTTTTTTAAATCCTTTAGTGATAAAAAACAACAATATAGATAGAATTAGACAAATTAGAACATTATTTAAAAAATGGCATTTTAAAGAAAAAAAGTTAATTAATTGGGTTGATTGAGTAAAAAGAAAAATAAATGTTCTATAAATTATATTTGGAAGTATGTCATCCAGCATATCCTAAATATTATTTAGGGGGTAGCGGATGTTATAGATTTAAAAATATAATAAAATTATGCGAAAATGGGTTCAATATAAATGAGAAATATAAACAATGGATTTCTATATATACAACCTCGTTAGCTCTTAATAAATCGTCAATTGATTTTAAGCTAATTTGATAAAATAAAATGCCAGCACTTATAAAACATATATGGCAAATCGCTGTCTATAACAATTTTAAATAAAATCTCTAAAATACAATTTATAAAATAATAATTTTTCTGAAAATTTTTAAAATCAAATTCATTGATATATTAAAGATTTATTATAAATTATTTACATTGCTTATCATTTATTATTAGTGTTTTTCATCTATAAAAAATTCAAAAACCAATTTTATCTCGACCCTTTTTTTTTTATAAATTAACATTAATTTAATCAAAATATTTAAAAAATTAAACGTGTTACCTATATTAAAAAATCCTCTTTAAGCCATTTCAAGGCAGAACTTTTTCAATGCTGTTTTTGGCTAATGTTATCAGCTTTCCAAAAAAACGAATTAATTTTTATATATATGATATTTTTAAAAAAAACAATTCGGATCCCTATTTTTTCAATCGTAAATAGAAAACAAACTGGTTTGATTTTAATAACGATTACCGGTGTAACGTTTTAAAATCACTCCAGTATTATAACCACTCTTTTTGTCCTATTTAATGAGTGAATTCAATACTTATTCTTCTATTATAATGTATTTACATACCTGAGTAAGTTTTTACCAGTGTATTTTTGATAATGATATATTTTGAATAACGTTTTATAATTTAATTTCATATTTTTAACTTGTCAATCAAAAAAAAAATTTTTTTATATAAAATTAAAATATTAGGATCCACATTTATTTTCGAAATATACAAATTATAATGAAGATAGTAAATTAAATATTTAAATTTTATATAACTTTTTTAGATTATGAAGAAATAAAAAACTTCATATTATATAAAAAATATCCAATTCGTTTAGCAGGCAACAACAGTGAGAAAAGAAATTTGCGTGTTAAAGCCTCCAAATTTAAAATACATAATGATAAATTATTTGACCATACACACTAGAAGAAAAGAACTCATTAACAGTTCACAGAGGTTGTGATAATAATATTGAAGCAATTTCACTTGCTGGCCATTTTGGTATTAACAAGACTCATAAAAAATTGGCTAAGTAGGGCTGTGCCGATATTAAATATCGGATCGAATCGGTACCGATATTTAGCGTTTTCTAAAAATATCGGATCGGGCCGATACCTATAAAAAACCCGATTCGATCTTTTTTTTGTTATTTTATTTTATGTTATGTATATTTATTTTATGTTATGTATATTTATTTTACATTATTATAATATTTTCTAAATAATTTTTTTAAAATTTATTTCTTTTTAGATTTATAGTATTTTAAAAGATTTTGTTATAAAAATAGAAAGGAACATCCAAAGTTTTATTTATTTTAAATCTTTTTAAACAACGCCAAGTTTTTTATTTATACTTTAAATAAAAGATTTTTTTTAAATATGGTATCTGAATTATGAAAATATTTTACAAAAGACAAAGATAATTTTGCAAAATGCGTTATCTGCGGGATCATCTGAGTCTGCCTTCAGTACGGCAGGAGATATAGATAGTCCATATAGTAGAAGCTTATTCCCAGAAAATCTGGAGGCTCTCATATTTATTTAAAAAATCTAATATATTATAATTTTATATATTAAATATTACAATTTTATAATTCATACCAATATAAAATGGATATATTAATAAATATATATTTTTTTATTATAGTTTTAATTGTAGAAATAAAAAAATTAAATTAAATTCATGATTCAATTTTTTGCCTAAAAAATATTGATTTCTTAATTGGTTCAAACGGGGTGATTAAAAATCAGTATAAATATCGGATCGGGTTTGAAGCAATATTGAAAGAGATTGGATCAGAATGGTGAAAAATATGTGGAACGGCACAGACCTAATATTTATAAATGTTAATTTTTTATATTCACAAATAAATACATTATAATCAAAAAATAAAAAGATTTATAGCTAACAGTGACTATTTGATTTTGACAGGTTAAAATAGCAGGTGTGAACTACTTTTTGACAAATAATAATAGCGGCAGTGTGTTCCTATTAAAAGCAACCTTTAACAACACTGTAATCTTCTTCCTTTATTTATAATAGCTTAGAAATTTTTAGAAAATATCATAATGTTGATTAAATTTTTATATTTCAGGTTAATTGCCATTTTTGAGTATCTGCTACTGGTATTAGATAAAAATAAATCTAACATTACTTTCCAAAAAAAGAAAGTGGTCCACTATTGATATTTTCACAAATAAGAGTTTCATAAAACATAACACTTGAGGCAAACAGAGGATATTTGGCCATTTCCAGGCAGAATGTTTTTCAAAACAAAACAATTAGCTAGGGATAATATTAAATTAAATTCATGTATTTTATAATATAAAATTGCCACTATTTAATTGTAAGTAAAATCAAAATCGTTTGCCTTTTTTATATCAAATTTTTTTTTAATATTTTATTAAGCAAAAAAAATAGGAATAAATAAAAAAATAATCTTGAAACATGCCTAGAAAATCTCTTTGAGAAAATGTTCTAACCGAAAATGTTTTTATAATAAAAATTTACAGAATAAGGAAAATAATCAAATATATCAATATTATCACTTTTCAAATTTATATCATTCTTTTAAAAAAATAAATGTAAAAAGAGGGTTTCTTTAGATGCAACCTGATTCTTCTTTATTCATTTTTCTTGTCTGGATTTAGTTCCCTTTTTTTTAACTTTCAAATTTTTTTATTGATTTCTAAGGTAGGCCTAATATTTTTTCATTTTCAGCATAAATCATAAATTTTTAATTGAAAAATATAAATTAAAGTTAAATTATAATCCCTAATGAATATTATATCTATTCATTTTATTATTGGAAATAAACACTTTTCTCAATTTTTTCTTAAAACTTTCAATAAGCCTATTTATTGCAAGGTGAGATTTACATGACAATCATAATTTTATTTTAGGTTAACTGAACATGACCTAATTTAATTGTAGTTTAATTTATTAACAATTTGGAAATTGGTTTGGTTCCTTTTATTCATTTATGATTAGGAAATTATATAAAATGTAATTGTTGTATAAAAACAATATAAATAACTAAACAATTGTAATAAGTAGTGTTGTTAAATGACTCGTTTTGAGCCGATTTTTTAAAAGAGCCAACTTAATATTTCATCCAGGAAAATATTACGCAAGCCTGAAGATCTTGCTAATATAAGGAATAAAGGTCTATACATATATTATCTAAATCTCGAGGTTTAGGCGATATTTTTCTGGCTAAAATATTGAGTTAGCCATTTTAAAAAATAGGCTTGCATAACACTTGTAATAAGTAATTAAGTTGGGTTTTTTTTAAATATTAAACCAATCTGATATTTAATATCAACATAGCCTTAAAATTTTTGGCAACTTATCTATATATTTTGAACCATTTTTAGATAACCTTAAATTTTATGATTCCATTTTTGGTTTGAAAGATTTTTATGATTTAGTCAAACCATAAGGAGAGTAATGATAAATGAAATTATTATCATTTATTTTTCTTACATATAAAAATAAACACAAATAAATTTCAATAATTAAAAAAATTCATAAAAATATATATAATAAATTACCTGAATACATATTGCCATTAATAGATACATTTGCAACAAATATAGGTATCTTATATCCTTCATTTTGTTTTATCTCAATATTCAAATTACGACCATCATGGAGTTCATATAACAAACTTATTGGATTTTTTTTAGTTATCTGATTTTTAATTTATATAACATATATGACAATTGTTAAACTTCTGAAGTTGTGTAATTGGACAAAAGTGGATTAGATTTCTTTTCTAGTTGAGGTGGAATTCTATATTTTAAATGTTCTACTAAAATTTTCTCAGCTAATGCAGTTTTTGCTAATTTTTTTGATCTACCAACAGCTATAAATATTTTTTTTTAAATTTACTATCTATTTAAATACCTTGGTATTGATTATCATCAATGACAGCTCTATAAGTAAATGGATTTATACTTATTTCTTCCATGCGAATGTCAGGCCTCAATTCGTTAAGTAATACTTTAGGGTCTTTGGACTGTTGCTAAATATATAACTTTTTACAATAATAATATTTTAAGATTACCTCTATTTTTGGTTTTTTGCTACGCTTTACACTAATCTCATTTAATGCATTAAAACTTATATCTTTATAAATAGAGCTTAATGTTTCAAAGTTTCTTTTATTTATGAATGTATTGCCATTAGTTGCAGTTGGATTCATATTCATAAATCCATAATTTTGGGAATTAAGATCCTCTGGAATAACGTTAGTATAGCTATTTAAAAAACATGACGGTTGTTTGTTGGCTGGTACAAAATTTTGATGTCCAATATCTGCAAAATCTCGTTGCCTTTTGTCATGATTTTGATTACCAATAGGCAAGGTATGTGATAAATTAGAGATGTTCTGCGGTTGCAAATTCTCTATATTTTCAAAATTCATGAGCTGAAATCGATTCATATTATATTTATTAGAGTTTCTTGAATTCAAAGTATTATTATACATGGCGTAGAATTCGAAAGCAAATTACAATAAAATGGTATGAAGTTAAAAAAAATATGGCGGAAAGATTTCACGTGATATAAAACAATATTTTTTTTATAAATTTATTTATAATAATAATCATTTTTTTATATGATATAATCAATGGCGTACGCAGAAGGGGGGGCAGGGGGACAAATCCCCCCCCCCCAAAGCCAAAAAATGCAGATGCTGGATATATTTTTCAAAAATATTATTGTTTATATTAATTTATATTTGGTAATATTTATTTGTATCTCATATTAAATATATATTTAATTGCATTTATTATCACATTTATCTACTAAGTTATTTTATCAATTAATTTCGATTTCAAGTTTTCCGGCGTAATATTTACTTATTATTTTCAAATTTTTAGTGGCGTATTATTTATCTACCATTTTCAAATTTCTAGTCAAATAATTATTATTTCTGAAACTTTTTGTCCAACAGGGAAAAAGAAATTGCAACCTTGTCCGAGATAGAGTCTCTGCCATCAAGCAGTAACAGCTTTTAAGGAGTTAGAAGAGCCAATTATTTTCTATTATTGAAATATCACAATGGCCTTGTAGTAATACCAACTACTAATTATAAACAATACGATTATTAATTTTATATTTCAATTTATTTTTAACATCGAATTTTTATTTATTGTTTTTCGAATGTTCGATTCTATTTTAATATACAATATCTATAAATAATCATTTATTAATTTATTACATTTCCTTCAAACAATTTAAAGTTAGATTTCTTCAATAAACCTCTTTGTAGGTTTACGGTTTCTTGATGAGCAACGTAATGTGGTATTTGTTTTTGTGTTTGTATTTGCTTCATTCACTGGCACATCCATTTCTGTAACTTCCAAAGAACTTTCATGATTTGGGATAATTAAACGATTTCTTTACTGTTCTGCATGCTTCCGTAATGTTTTCCCGGAAGATTCAACAATATAAGAATAAAGTCCTATTCTTTCTTTAATTACTCCCTCTCTCCAACCATTGGTATTTTCATTATTTAACTATATAGGTTGTGAGATTTCAAATTCTCTTTCCTTTGAATGTAAATCATGATGAAGGCTTTGTTTATCATTGGCCCTTACTATTTCGTGTTCGGCATTTGGTCGGATCCAATCCAGACTTGTTTTCAATTGCCTCCCAAACATAATTTTAGCAGGAGATCTCCCTGTGGAACTATGCTCTCCCAATCGGTAGGTTGTTAAAACCTGTGTCATAGCTTCTTCGGGATCGCTAATTAAATCTCTCGTTGCATAATACCGACCTTTCAAAGTTCGTACTGTACGTTCAGCTAATCCATTAGTTTTTGGATGATAGGGTGCCGAACGTATATGACGTATGTTATTTAAATCACAATACCTACGGAATTCCCCTGATAAGAATTGTGGTCCTTTGTCTGACACACTGTACTTGGGTATTCCAAACCTAGCAAACCATTTATTTAGTCGTTTTATCATAGCATCAGCAGAGGTATTCTGCATTAGATCAACTTCTAACCATGGTCTATTTTTCTGGCATCCAGAACATATTTTGATATAATTTTCTATATCAACATCACATCTGGGCCACCAACAATACAATCTAAAAATAGATTTCATTACATTTTCCCCAGGATGTCCCCAGTGAATCATTCCTAACACTGCATTTCTTAATTTATTAGGAATAACCAATCTCCCATTCCATTCTATAATATTACGATTGACAGAAAGCTCTTCCCGTCGATTATAAAAATTAACTATTTCTTTATCTTTATGACGATCAAAGTTTCGCCAACTTTGCTGAATATGTATTGCTACTTTTTTTAATATTAAATCTTGCTTCGACTCTTTTCGCAGAATATTTTCTGACAATTGCATATCATCCAAATTAATACTTCGAATATCCAAAACATGTTTAGAACCTTGATTCTCTTCCGAAATTCCTTGGTGTTTATTAATCAAATCTCGAATTCTAGAATCTAGTGTTATGCAACATTTTTCTTTTTCAATATTGTTGACCAAATTGCGTACTTGTTTAATCATAACCTGACGAGGCATTTCTAAATTGAATGCTATAATCCATGGTAATCCGAAAAGAGGCACCCCAGTTGTATTCATTATTACCACTGGTAGAGTCCTTGTCTGTGATCCAATCCTAACATTGACTTGGGTCTCGCCCTTGACGTCTAACGGATGATCACCATATGCAGTCAATGGACTGGTTGGCCTAATTTTTGGTCGCCCAATACTTGTCCATATATCAATTCCTATCAATGACGCTTGTGCACCAGTGTCAAAATCAAATTCAACATCTAACCCATTTATCTCTGCAGTTAGGTTTGCTCGATTCTCTCGATTTTGTTGAATCTTCCAAATATTATGAATAGAATCACTTGATGACACTCTTATATAATTTAAATTCTTTGATTTACAGCAAACTGCAAAATGACCAATTTTTTTACATTTATTACATGCCGCATTTGTAGCTGGACATCTCACTTCTCGGTTATGAATAAAACCACATTTATAACATTTAAGTTTATTATAATCTTTATCATTATTATATTTGTATTTATTATTCTCTTTATCAAATGTATTATTATACTTGACTTTATTATAGCCTTTATCAAGTAGTCGTCGTTTTAATTGGATGTTTATAATTATTATCATTATCATTTCTTTTGTTATTATCATTTATCTTATTAACAACAGGCATATTTTTGCCATTTCTTTATCTGCTCGCTCAGAAGCTAATGCCAGATCAAGAATAAATTGAAAAGTCAGTACATTATTATCTCTATCAAGACAGTCGGGATATAGAGCTCTAAGATCTCTTTCCAATCCCGGTATTTCCATGCCAACCATAAACTGATCACGTAAACGCTCGTCAATATCATTAAGATAATGACAACGCTTGCCAATTGTTCTAATTTTATCTGCAAATTCAGTTATGGTTTCAGTTGTTCTCCGTAATCTAACGAAATCAAATCTAGAAGCAAAAGCTGTTGACGTCGTTTAAATAGTTTAAAACATATTGACTTAATTTCCTTAAAAGATAAAGTTTCGATGGAATCAGGATAACAAAAACGGTCCACCAACTCAATATTCTTATTGCCAAAAAATGTTAAAAATATATCTTTATATTGACATTCAGATGGGCTTACGTTTTTTAACCGAAAACTGGCTTCCCATTGAGAAAAATATCTGTGGATAGAAGTGTCCAACTCGAATTTATCAAATTTAATCGTAGATAAATCCGCTATTTTTTTTGAATCTCCATTTAAGGAATTATTTTCTCCATTTAAGGAATTATTATCTCCATTTAAGGAATTAATTTCTCCATTTATCGTCGCCATTTGTAGTAATACCAACTACTAATTATAAACAATACGATTATTAATTTTATATTTCAATTTATTTTTAACATCAAATTTTCATTTATTGTTTTTCGAATGTTCGATTCCATTTTAATATACAATATCTATAAATAATCATTTATTAATTTATTACAGGCCGGAAAGAAATATTTCCTCAGAAGCAAGAAAATTGTTGGATTCAATACTTATTCCAAATTTTATTTCTCATTAGAATGTATTATTTAATTATACAACTATTTTAAGTATTACTTTTCAAAAACATAACATTGACTTGATTAAGAAGATGAGAATAACGGAGAGCATTTTATCAGAACTCAAGGAAATAGGGCTAATGTTGATGAAGAATTTCATATTTTATTGTTGAGTCAAAAGCAGAGCTATACGTGTTTAATATTTGTCTCCCTCGACTTGTAGCAAGGCAAGCTCATAGTTAAAACATTAATATAGGATCAGTAGAAGAGTATATCTTAAATACAGAATTTGGGGTCATTTAAGTGATTCTTTACATATAATTTTTTTATAATTCACATAAATTTAAAATTGAGTATTAGAAATAGTTATTAGTTCTAATAAATTTATGCTTGATATTTTTAAAAAACAATAATATTTCTTAAAAAATTTTATCCCCCTCCCCGACCTAATTCCTGCGCAGGCGCCTGGATATAATCATAGTAAAAATTAAATTAATAATAAACACATAAATAAGAATTTTAATTAAAATTATAATATAGCGAATAAAAAGCTGTGATCTCCTTTTACTCAAACTCTTATAAATTTTTGAGTACATCATAAATTGATAGAGGTTTTTTGGTCTAATTATTGTACTCCTTTTGCTAGCATTTATATTAAAGAAAATACACCGGAGGCAAGCGCGTACCCAGGAGTTTTATGTGTGGGGAATCAGAGGCTTTGACAATCTCAGGGCTCATCTAAAATAAATTTACTATGGTCTTCACCCCCATACTATTTTGCGGGACTTCGGCCTGCTTTTGCCCGTATATTAATATATTATACTTTTTAAGTGAAATTTGTAAACTTTGTACAATTATTCTGTTTATATTTTATCATTTATTATGCATACAAATAATAAAAGTAAAACATTACAAGACATTTCTAAATATAATATTTTTAATACAAAATATTTATCCATTTATTACATTATTAAATATTTTCTATTGCTAATATAAAAAAAAATTTTGTCTAAAGAATTACAAGTAATAAAAAAGGTTAACCTTATTTGATAGTGGTTTTTAAAAACCTCGCATGGCGCTATAATTTTTAGCAACCTACATCAGTGGCGTATCCATGATTTTCTTATGGGGGGGGGGGGGGCTTCGCCACCAAACCCCCTTTACCTGGCCTTCGTAGCTATTCTATTAAATTATTCATAATTTAATAATAATTATATTTCTATTTTTTACTAATTCGTGCTTATGGATATTACGCCTATTTTTTATTATTTTAAGTTAGGTATATTATTATATAGTTTTTTTAAATATAAGTTGAAATAAAGTATGTCATTTTTTATATAAAGTTTGCTTTAAAAATTAGCCTCAGCTTAAATTCTCATACAATATAAGTAGAATATAATTTTGAAAATACTAATAGTAGTACGTATAAAATATTGACTAGAAAATAATTTAAAGAATAAGTTTTCTTTAACTTCTT